TGGGGGCACTTCCTCTTGGCACATGGGATCGTTGCAGTCGCTTCCAGAACATCCGCGTCGAAGATTTCATATATTTATACCCGTCTACATGGTTCGGCTCAATGCCGTGCTGTCGACCGCCTCTGGCCTGAGAGGACATAAGTTACAATCGCGCTGGAGAAAGGCAAGATCTACGGCCAGATCCTCGACATCATGCACAATGGCCCGTGCATCAGCGTTCAGGTACCATTGCGAGGCAAAGGCCCACTTTGGGCCAACTTACGGTATGCCGAGAACAAAATGAACGAGCACAATGGTTATGTATTCGCAGTCCCGTTGCATGCAGACCTGCCCGAGATGCACCTCAACCACCAGAATTCGTACGATGCCGATTCCCACATCGGCCTCGTCTGCTACAGGCACGACACCGTCATTGATGCGCCGGTGGATACACCTGCACCCCAACAGAGCAATGATCAAGAGATCAAACACGACGAGACAAAGCTGATTACAGCAATTGACGTCGCACACGATCTGAGACTCATCTTCGCGAGGTGTTCCACCGCGGAAATGACTGAGCTCCGTAGGAATGGGTAAAGAACGGCAGCTGTTCCCATGCTGCTGACTCCGATGCTGGAGTTGGATCAGGTATGCACGGCAACATACACGGAGACGGAACGGCAACTACGTTCAGGTACGTATGCGTACGAGAGTCACATGGAAATACGTTTCCGCTTCGATACCATGGCGGATTGGTACACATTCATTTTCGACCCATTATGCCCATGGGACAGAGAATTGCTTGGCATTTGCGGACTCCACCTTTTCCTCACTACTGATGAGAGAGATGAACTGGGACGGCAACGATGACTTGGTTTTGTCTCCTTGGATTCCACATTAGCTCTCACTTATCCAGAGTGGCGCTACGCGTCGCTTGCCACAAACATCATCCAATGACATCCTGAAGGATCACCCCGCGTTGGCATCCCTCACCCATCTTTGGGAACCGGCCGCGTTGCCCGACGACAAGTACGACGACTTGCTGAAGACCCCGCTCGGCGACCAGCAGAATATCAGGGCTTCCGCCACGCCGCCGCAAGATGGAACAAACATCCCTGTCCCCGATCCTGGAAGCGCTGCATCCGCCGTCGCCCCCGCCCAGGAGGAACTCATCGAGGCATTGCGTTTTGACCATGACGTCTCCATGGGCGACGCCCGCGCCGACGAGGCAATTGACGAGGAGCTTCGCCGCAGAGCGGAGATAGTCTTCCAGCATCGTCGGGGGGCGGCCTCAGCGCACCGCGATCGCGATCAAATCGTGGGTGGGGATCCGTCCGATCTTGTGACTGACAAAGGATTGCGATCATCGGCAGATGATCTTGCTACCGACAGCGCCGGCTTCGTTCCGACTCGCGTCGTTCGACTGATCGGCCGCGAGTTGGGCGCCAGTGGCAACGCCCGCAGGAGGATCCAACACATGATCGAGAATGGGGCAGGAGACTGCCAGACACCGAAACAGCAGTGCACGAGCTGCTACCGCGATCTCCCCGATGAGGACTCGAACGGCACTGGCGCATGCCACATTTGTTCCGAGTCATTAGAGCACGGAGGAACAGGCGCTCACCAGATCAAGGTCATGGCCGACGTGCGCGCGTGGATCCGTGAACAAATGGACGAAAACATCGCGCGCGAATTCATGCGCGCTGATGCCCGCATTCGCGTCACGGGCGCACGCTCCGACGAGGCGGGGGCGAGCGACGCTCCCCGCGGGCTCGCTCATAAGGCCATGCTCCGCTACGCCAAGCGGCCGGAGGCCGGCAGACCGAGCCCCGACCAATGCCGCATCGGCGGACTCGAGGACTCTGACGCAGAGGGAACGGCTCTCTATCGCCCGTATCCCGATGTCGCGCATCGATGCCAAGAAGGTGCTGTCTTTCATCGTCAGATGACAGAGGAGAGAGCGCAGACATGCCTGCACCCATACATCAACGAATATACGAACGTAGCAATGCGCCTCTGGGAGGAGAGCCACAGGCAGGGTTTCGCAAACCATGAAGCACCCGCTCCTGGGGCCCTCCCTCTCGGCGCGTGGCTTGGCCGCGGATATCTGACCTTTTCCGCTCCATCTGCGAAGGGAACTGGTCGGATGAGCCGCGTCGAGCCGAAGGACTTCCAGGCGAAGGCACCCAAGGGCTCCGGCAAGAGTAAAGATGATCAGGCCACCACCGAGGAGCCTGTCCGCCTGACCCCTGCCCCTCCACCTGTCCGACTCACCCTTGCTCCTCCATTCCCGCGCCGCAATGGCCCCACACCTGCCCATGCTCCTGGCGGCGCTGGCCGGGGAGGCGCCGCGGACGGGCCTGGCGGAGCTGCATATTTGTCAACGGCGCGCCGACCCCTGACACCGCCAAGGCGTCCCGAGTTCAACTGGGATGGAAATCGCGGCCGTAGTCCGAGTGCCGCGCGCGAGTGCCGCAATGTCCACAGCTGGTGGCGTCGCGGGCTGCAACGCTACCAGCGCGACACCTACTGCTACTGGTCGGAACACCTCAACCAATTGGTCTACATCGACGGCGAGGACAACGAGTACATCTGGTCATTGGGCAACTACCAGACGATCACCATCAGTTGGTTCAACAATTATGGTAATCGTGTTTGGGACGGGCGCTACTATGAGAGCTGTAGGTGAGTCGGAGGTGAGGGGGTGAGATCGAAGTGGAACGGAGAGCCCCCCTACCGGGAAATTGGTTTCTGTTTCGTGTTCGTGCGTGCCGTGCGCGCGGGCGAGGCGAAGCTGCGTGGGCGGGCGAGAGGAAAGTCTCCTGTGGCTGAGGCGCGGCCGGACCAAACTATTCCCTTCCGGCAACCGGCGCCGCGCGGTGCACCGCCGGCGTCCCGGGCTGAGGCGCGGTCGGACCAAATGATTCCCTTCCAGCGTCCGGTGCCGCGCGGTGTCCCGCCGGTGTCCCGCCGGTGTCCCGTCGGTGTCTCTATGGTGATGATGGGGATGGTGATGATGGTGATGATGTCGATGATGTTGATGATGGTGATGGTGGTGATAATGCTGGTGTCCCGATGAAGATGATGAGGAGGATGATGATGATGATGTTGTTGGCGATGTTGATGATGATGGTGATGATGATGGCCATGGTGGTGATGATGGTGCCCGGATGATGATGATGATGATGATGATGATGATGTTAGTGATGATGAATTTGATGATGGTGAAGATGTTGGTGTCCCGATGGTGATGATGATGTTGTTGCTGATGATGGGATGGTGAGATGATGATGATGCTGCTAATGATGAGGGTGACCATGATTATGATGATGGTTTACCGATGATGACGGTGATGATGAGTATAATGATGATGCTGATGATGATGGTGGTGATGATGATGGTGATGATGACGATGGTGTCGCGATAATGATGATGGTGATGATGACGATGATGGTGTCCCGAGGATGATGGTGATGTTGCTTATGCGGGTGATGATGAGGTGTTTATGCTGGTTTTGATGATGGTGGCCCGATAATGGTGATGTTGATGTTGATGGTTATGGTGTCCCGATGATGATGATGGTGCTGATGACAGAGGTGACGATGATGTTGGTGCCCCGATGGTGACGATGTTGATGATGATGTTGCTGATGATGATGGTGTCCGGATGATGAGTGTGATAATGTTGTTCATGATGATGATGATGATGGCATGATGGTGGTGGTGTTCCGATGATGATGATGATGGTGTCCCGATGAAAATGTTGTTGATGATGATGATGGTGACGATGACGGTGTCCCGGTGATGATGGTGATGGTGATGATGATGGTGATGAGGTGATGATGATGGTGACCCGATGATGCTTATGAGGTTGATGTTGATGACGTTGATCTTGATGATGTTGACGACGATGATGACGTTGATTGTGCTATCGCTTGTGATTTCGGTAATTGGATCGGTACTGAAACCGAATGCGAGATCGATCGTGATATCGATCGTGAGATCGATAGTGATATCGATTGTGCGACCGATCGTCAGATCGATTGTGAGATCGACCGGATTAAATAGATCACGTGATATCGATGATGAGATCGATCGAGTGATATCGATCGAGCGATACCGATCGTGAGATCGATGGTGCGATCGATAGTGGGACCGATCGAGCGAGACGTTGGTCCCCCCCCCGAACCACCTTATCACCCGAAGGGTGGTCGTAAGGGTATTGCATTTGGTCTCATCGCTTGTGCATTCGCTCTCTCCCCTCCCGCTGCCTCTTCCCCTCAAGCCTTACTGCCGTGAACGTTTCATGGCCGCCTGGGTGCACGCTGCCGGCGGCTGGGTTCTCGGGGCGCTCTCCGAGCGCTGGACCGGGGCTGGCCGCAGCGGGGTCGCCGAGGTCTCCTGCCGCTGCGTGTTCGAGGGCTCGGACACGACCGACGGCCTGGTGGCCATCCTCCGGGAGCAGCTGGCACGCTGCGGCCCGGAGCACCTGCAGGGGGTCGCGTGCCAGCCCTGCCCTCCGTGCCCGCTTCCGCCTGGGCACTACACGGGGCTCGACCTCTGCGGCGCGGCCGTGGTGGGCGCGGCCCTTGGCGCTGGGCTGGCGACAGCGGCCTGGCTGGCAGCTGGAGCGCCGGGTCGGCCGGCGGTGCGAACGCGGGCCCTCGCCGTCGAGGACGACGCCGGCGGCGCGCACGTCGCGACGCCGTCGGCTCTCGGGCGAGGCCGGCGGGCTCCTGGCACCCGCACTGACTAAGGGCCGCCATGGCCCGAGCGCTGGACACGCCGTTCAGCCAGTGCCTCGTCAGGTACGAGGACGACGAGAACTTTCAGTGGCATCATCGAGTCCTGTTGGTGAAAGGCGATGCCCAGAAGTGGATCTGGCTCACGCCGGACGGGGAGGTGGCCTTCGTCGACCTGGCCACCTTTCGGGTGCTGGCCCTTCGGAGGTCGGGCCCGTTCCCAGCTCGGCATGCTGGGAACATCTACGCCTTCGACGACGTGGCGGCGGAGGACATGCAGGGCTACCTCGAGGAGGCCAGGGCCCTTGGCACGATCCTCGGCTTCGACCTCGCGGGCGTCGTGGGCCTCCCGGGCGACAAGTGGTACGTGAGCGACCCCACCTCGTCGCACTTCGGGGAGGAGGTGCCGCCCCAGGTGCTCGCCAACGAGGAGGTCCTGGTGCGGCGCGGGGACGTCGGGCTCGCGCGGCTCGACGACGTCTGGATTCACGCGATCAAGGTGAGCGAGGGGCAGAACTTCGACACGTACCTCGCGAGAGCTCGCGGGGGAGCTGGCCGGGACCCGCGTGTCGTCGGCGACGAGAGGGACCAGGACGGAGGCAGGTACATCGACTTCCGCGACTCGGTCCGCCGCATGAAGGAGACGACGATCCCGGGCTGGCCTCTGCAGGGCCGCCGTGCCACGAGGGAGGCTGTGCTCTCCCTTCGCGACGGAGGTCAGGGCAATTGGGAGGAGCACCACACCACCTGGCTCCGACGCAGCGGAGTGGCCGAGCGAGGCAACGTGGCCCGCGAGCACCACATGATTTGCGTGTCTCTTCGGATGATGCAGCAGTTCGATCAGCTGGACCTGTTCAACATCGCGGGCGCCGAGTACCTCGTCAGGCGGCTCAAGCAGCTGGAGTCGGCCACCCGCAAGAACCCTCGGGCTCCCGATTTCGAGGGGCTCGACCTCATCCTCGACACGGGGGTCGACGACACGGGTGGCATGGTGCTGCCAGAGTTCGATGGATGGGTTGGCGATCAGGCGCGCGCCCGCGCCCAGACTACGAAGGCGAATCGGCAGTGGCAGGAGGAGAGGACGGCCGCGCAGCCCAAGGCGCCCCCGAAGGGGCCCAAGGGCGGCGGGGCCGACGCTGGCAAGTAGCAGGGGGCCGGCTGGCCCCCTCCTGGGGCTGGGCGTCCTGCGGCGCCCCGCCCTGCCTGGCTGCCGCCGCGGGTTCCTCCGCCGCGGCCGCCTCCACGTCCTCCCCATGGCATCGGGATCTCGCTCCTCGCACGGGGACCCGCTGCCGCTTTCGGTCCCGGGGCCTGGCCCGCCGGTCGACCTCAGCGGGGCGCCGCGGTACCTGCGCCAGCGGGTGCTCCAGCGACGCTCTCGTGAACACCGTGTTCGTGAGGCAGTTCGCTCGATCAACTGTCTCGCCGCCTGCACGGTGCGCCATCGTGGCCGCGGGCCAGGTGGCGCTGCCGATTCAGGGACTTCGGGTTCGGCGACCTCGTCCTCGCGCGGCCGGCAGCTCGGCCGCTGCGTGGCGGAGTACGGCCCTCGCCCGGCAGATCTCCACCCTCGCGGAGCCCTTCAGGAGCTCCTCAAGTCCGACTCGCTCTACGGAGGCGCGCCGTCCAAGGTCGTCCCGTACGAGGAGTCCAAGCTCAAGTTCTGGCAGTCCTCGGTCACGCCTCGAGACGTGGAGGAGGTCTGCCCCAAGTTCGTCGTCGACGCCTTCCGCGACCCCGACGCCTACATCCGCAAGCCGGACCGCGTGGTGGAGCAGGACCTCGAGCTCCTGCCGCCGATCAAGCCGTACTGGGACGCGCGGCTTGCCAGCGACGCCCGCCTTCGGCGGGACTTCCTCCTCAGGCTCGCGGGGCGGGGGCTGGTCGGCTTCCGGAGGCGGATCAGGTCACGCGTGGGGTGTTTCTTCGTCGAGAAGAAGGGCGGCTGGATCCGCCTGGTCGTCGACGCTCGCGACACCAACCGCACCCACTGGGCGCCCCCGCATGCCGCCCTCGGGACCCCGGCTGCCCTCAGCGAGCAGGACTGGTCCGATGCTGCGCTCGCGGACGCCGGATGGGTTAGTGCTGACGGCTCGCCTGCTCAGATCTTCGGGTCGTCCCTCGACCTCCAGGACTCGTTCTACCAGTTCTTCTCGGAGCGCGTCGCGGAGGATTTCGGGATGGACTTTCCTGAGCGGGCGTCCTACTACCAGGTCTCCCACATCTGGACGCCCGACGGCCTGTCCCCTGTCGACCCCGACGAGCTCGTGTTCCCGGTCTTCCGCGGGGTGCCGATGGGGTGGTCATGGGCACTCTGGGCCGTGCACTCGTCCGTCACGTCCTGGGTCTCGGACACGCTGCCGGGGGGTGCCCGACGCCTGCTGCTTGACAAGCAGCCGGCTCCCGTCGCGGCACCCTTCCGCCCCACAGGGTCGGTCTACGTGGACAACGTCTCGTTCCTGGGCCTCTCGAGCGACGACGTCGGGCACGCGCTGCAGGCCGCGAAGGACAAGCTCGACTCGCTCGGCATCGCGCACCACGAGGTCGAGGGCCCGGCCACGCACTTCACCACCGTCGGCGTCGAGTACGACGGGAGGCGGAGGCGTCTGCGGCATTCAGATCACCGAGCCTGGCGCCTCTATTTGGCCTGTCAGGAGCTCGAGCGCCCTGGGGTTCCGCGCGCGGCCTGGCAGATCCGTGTGTTCCTCGGGCACTGTGTGCAGCACTGCCTGCTGCTGCGGCCGGCCCTCTCGATCTTCCGCCTGCTCTACCGCTTCGTGGACGCGCAGGGTCAGGGGCCTCCAGTCGCGCTGTCTGCTGGGGCCCGCCGGGAGATCCAGCTCTTCAGGGGCCTCATCTTCCAGGCCGTCGTCTTCTTGGACCGGCCGATGTCCTCCCTGGTTTTGTGCTCCGACTCGTCCGAGGCAGGCTACGCCCTCCATCGCCGACGCGCTGACGTTCGACTCCTTCGGCAGCTGGCTGCTGCCCGGGAGAGGTGGAGGTTCGTCCCCGACGAGAAGCGCCCCGACGCGGCGCTCGACGACACCTTCTCCCCGGGCTGGGCGCCTGGCGCTGGAGGGGCGCTGGGAGAGCCGCCGGGCGCTACAGGCGTGGCCGTCTGGGCCCCGCCGCCGACGCGCTCGAGGGAGGGCGCCCGAGGCGTGCTCAAAGGCCGGCTCAGACCCACTGTGCGGCCTGCTGGCGTCTCCGTGCCCGACAGCCTCGTCGATCCCAGGGACTGGTCTCTCACCGTCGAGGGCGCCTGGCGCCGCACGGCCCCCATCCACCTGCTGGAGGGCCGCATCGCCCTGGGCGGCCTGCGACACGCCGCCCGGCAGGTCGACTGCCACGGCTCCCGGGTGCTCAGCCTGGGCGACAACATGTCGGAGCTCCTCTCCGTCGAGAAGGGGCGAGCCGTGGACCACGGCCTCGCCTGTCTGTGCCGGCGGGCCGCCGCCTACCAGATCGCCTGCGGGATCTCCTGGCGGCGCCGGCACCTCGACACGGACCGCAACCTCAGTGACGCGGGGTCGAGGAAGGCGCTGCAGGGCGTCTACCGCCCAGGACAGCGGCGGGTTGGCGGCAGGTCGGAGAGGCCCGCCCTGCCCGCTGGGTGCCCGCAGTCTGCGCCCCCGGCGCCGGCCCCGCCGGCGCCCTCGGCGACCGCCAGCTGGCCAGTCGCCGAGGAGGCTTGCGAGCCTCCCCCCGCAGCGCGGCTGCGCGGCGGCCGACTGCAGACCCGCCCGCCGCGGCCGCCGCCGCGGGCCTCTGGGGCTGCTGGCCGCTGCGGGCCGCGGCGCGCCCCACGGCCACAAGAGGGGCCCGCAGCCGGCGCCCCTGGCCACCCTGCGCGCAAGGCGACGTTCGACGAGGCCGAGGGGGCCCGCGACCCGTCGCCGCCTGCGGCCTGCCCACGCGGGCGCCGCCCACGGCCGCGGCCAGTGCCCCCGCCGCGGCCTGCTGGGGCCCTCGGACGAGTCGGACGGAGACTCGCGCCGGGGCCTCGGCACCTCTCTTCCGAGCGGGCCCCGCCACGTCTGGGCCGCTCCGGGCCGCGCACGCGCGTCGGGAGCGCGCCGCGCGGGCCGCCTGCCCTCGGGAGCCTTCGCTTGCATGCCCGGCCTGGCCGAAAATGGACGACAGAGCCTCCCGGGCTGCCGCCCCCTCCGCCCCTGCCGTTCGTCGCGGTCGAGCCGGCTCGTGTTCCTGTACCTCGGCTTCGTGGACGTCGGGCGGCTCTCGAGATCTTCTCGGGAGGGGCTCGCTGGACGGGGGCTCTCGCGCAGCTCGGTCTGGCTGTCGCGGCTCCGATCGACATCAAGTTCGGGGGTTGGGGCGACCTGCTTCGGCCCAGCATCGAGACCGTCGTTCGCCAGTGGATCGTCTCTCGCAAGGTCTGGTTCGTGCACTTCGGGACTCCGTGCACTCCGTGGTCAGTTGCTCGCCGTGGGGCCAATGATACGTCTGCTATACGTGCCGGTCGGCGGTGTGCTCATGTCACTCTTCGTCTACTTCGTTTGTGCGTTCAGTTCGGCGTCAGGTGGTCCCTCGAGAACCCCCGGGGATCCCGGCTCTTCTCTTGGGAGCCTCTCCAGAAGTTCCTGTCCGAGCATAGCAAGGTCTCCGTGGTGTATGACTGCTGTCGGTTTGGAGCCCCGTACCAGAAGCCCACCAGGATTGAGTCTGACCTCCCCGAGCTCGGTACCCTTGAAAGGCGTTGTCTTGGAGGTCATGCCCACGAGCATCTTCAGGGGAAGGTCAAGGTCCGTGATCGCCAGGGTCGGCTCAAGCAGTTCTGGCGCACGACCCTGGCTGGCGCCTACCCTCCTGGTGTCTGCCACAGCGCCGCTCGGGCCGTGGCGCGCGCGGCGCCCGCGGGAGCCTGGCGACAAGATGGGGATCCACTGCTGCCCGGTCACTGGGAGACTCAGCTCCGCCGTGCAGCCAAGATGGACGACGTCCAGCCGTCCCTCGAGTGCCCCAGCTGCCCGCGGAAGTGGGTCGCGCTCTGGCCCCCCGACGCCGAGGGCTGGGGCCGCTTCGTCGGCCTCCCGCGGCCGCGGGCAAGGCCGAAGCCTCGGCAGAGGCCGGGCGTCGGCTGCCCGGGCCCGCCAGGTGCCTGCTGACTCCTCGCCGGGCTTCCTGCGGCGCTCGCAGGTGCGGCCGGCCACTCAGGCCCGCTACCTCGCCAGCGTCGTCGTGTTCGCCACGGCCATGGGCGTTGTCGCCGACCGCTGGGTGAGCAAAGACCTCCCCCCGGTGGACACGCTCCTCGAGGAGCACTTCGAGCAGCTCTACGTCGACGGCGGCGGCAAGAGCACGGCCCGCTACACCTTGGCCGCCTTGGCCTACCGATTCAGCGTGTCGCTTCGTGCCCCGGACGTCTTTCCAAAGGCGAAGGGCGCCCTCTCCGGCTGGGGCAAGCTCGAGCCGGACGTCACCTCGGAGCCGCTCTGCTGGGCGGCAGCGTGCTTGATGGCCCTGTACCTGGCCGGCCTCAATACGGAGATTGCCCTGCAGGCCGCCCGCGGCCTGGTGGTACAGTTTGACACGTACTTGCGCCCTGGCGAGCTGCTGGACCTTCGCGTGCCCTGCTGCATCCTGCCGCAGCCGAGTGCCGGCTCAGGCTACAACAAGATGGGGCTCGTCGTCGGTGCCTCCGCGCTGGTCATGGGCGACGACGTGCACACTCGCGTGACCAAGACTGGCCTCCAGGACGACACCGTGCTCATCGATGGCCAGTCTCGTGCTGGCGTGGCCGGCGCCCTCATGGCCCTCGTCAAGAGCGCCAACCAAGCCCGGCAGGGGCGCCTCATGTTCCTCCACTCGTACGCTTCGTACAACCGCTTGCTCAAGAAGGCCGCCGTCGCCGTCGGCCTCCCGACCAAGGTGACGGCGCACCTCCCTCGGCACGGCGGTCCGTCGGAGGACTACCTGAGGGGCGCCCGCTCGCTGGCCGACATTCAGTCTCGCGGCAGGTGGTCGAGCTTCCGTTCTGTACAGCGCTATCAAAAGAGCGGCCGTGCACTTGCTTCTTTCAGACGCCTCTCGGCCGCAGTGAAAGCAGAGGCTAAGCGTGCAGAGGCCATGCAGTTCTCTTTCCTCTCGTGAGTTGCCTCCCAGCGCTCAGCCTGCTGCAGTGTTCCCTCGGCAAGCCAATGGAGTTGATATGGGATTTACTCCAGCGTTCGATATGGGTTTGATTTCAGGTCTGGCCAGACTGTCAGATTTCTCGAGCTCCTCGGCCGTGTGGGCCAGTGGGCTCTCGTTGTTTCAGCTCTGCCGTCAGCCGCCATCGCAAGTGTACTCAGGTGTGGGCCTGAGCTCTCGGCGCTGCAAAAAGAAATGAAAGTCCTCGTCACGCCAGCTGTCTTTTTCCGTTAGGCTGACGCCGTTCCGAGTCTCTTGGGACCCACGCCCTGGGAGGGGTGTCCGTTCAAGATTGCATTGCATTTGGTCTCATCGCTTGTGCATTCGCTCTCTCCCCTCCCGCTGCCTCTTCCCCTCAAGCCTTTCTGCCGCCCCGCCCTTCCCACCCTGGGAAAAGCTGGAGTGGAAGGCAAGTAGCTTGGACTTCTGCGAATTCGGGTTTGATTTCAGGTCTGGCCAGACTGTCAGATTTCTCGAGCTCCTCGGCCGTGTGGGCCAGTGGGCTCTCGTTGTTTCAGCTCTGCCGTCAGCCGCCATCGCAAGTGTACTCAGGTGTGGGCCTGAGCTCTCGGCGCTGCAAAAAGAAATGAAAGTCCTCGTCACGCCAGCTGTCTTTTTCCGTTAGGCTGACGCCGTTCCGAGTCTCTTGGGACCCACGCCCTGGGAGGGGTGTCCGTTCAAGATTGCATTGATTTACATGTTTGCTGCGTATCCTGCCGCGCATGGAACATATTCTGGATATTGATTTCGTATCGCTACATTTTTATTCATGATAGTTTTGAACCGTTATGATACATGTATCGTTTGATCGGAGACATGTCATTTTACGCTGTCTTTTGATTGGAGATTTATACGACATTGTTCTGGCAATGGACATAGACGCACCCAGGCAGGCCGTCCGCCAGAAATCGTATACACAGAACGTCCGGTTATCTGTTCGAGTGAAGGATATTGCGTCAGAGAACGACCGAGCCAGAGTATTCGTCACGACCATTGACATCTCACCTTTGGGGCCCAGCGTGCCTCGCGTCATGCATGACAGAATGTCCGATATCATTTTTCATCACAACTATTTGCACATACGGTTCCACACGGGCCTGGAAAGCCCTACAATCCTTTGGGCCTGGAGTGCTCCGTGAGTGAGAGATGGCTTTACTTTGAACGAGTTGTCGTCACAAGTCGATCCGACACCATTTGCGCGTGCGTCGCGTCGGTGGCCACACTTGCATCGAGTATCGTCCTGGAGTGCCGAAGCATTTTTTGGGGGCGCACCCAGGGCCCGCTAAGTCGGGTAGATAAACCTAAATACCCCGTGTGGTGGGGTTCGTTCTCTCCCAACCCTCCTTGCCAGTACTCCCTCGTGCGGAGGGGCGGTACATGTGACGGGGCTGCGAGTGGACCTCACACTCCTGTTCCCGATCCCTGCCGTTGTCTCCCGTGGGCCCGAGGCCATCGGGAGCTGGCAGGTTTCGGGACGGTGCGTGTGCGTGTGTGAAGTCCGTCACTTTCCTATCACATCCTTTCCGCAACTGTACTGGCTCAGGTATTGGTAAACTGACTTGGCGCACTGCTCGCTGCGCAGTGCCCAGGAAAACAAACCTCTACCAACGGACCCCATACAGGAACGGCCTTCCGCCGTTTCCCTGTATACACAGCCCCTGTACAAGTGCATGAACCCACGCTGTTTTCGAAAGGACGCGTTGCGCGAACGTTTGCATCGCGAGGCTGACCTCGCGGACTTGGGACCGTATTCATGTGCGTGGTTGGGCGCGTAAGTCTCGTGTGGGCCCCTTCCAGGTGCTCGACCGCGAGGCCGCGGAGTCGCCCGCGCCGCTGGCGCAGGAACTCGCCCGAGAGTGCGCGGACCAGCTGCGGCGGGCGGAGGAGGCCGCGCAGCCCCGTGAGGTCCACATCCCGCTGTTCGGGACCACCGGCGCAGGCAAGAGCACGCTGCTGAACGCCCTGCTCGCGGAGGAGGTGGTGCCCACGTCGGGCTGGCGCGCCTGCACTTCGGTGCCCGTCGAGCTGAAAAGCGTGGGTGGCGAGGGCCCCTTCGAGGGCGAAGTGCACCTGAAGAGCCCCGCGGAGTGGTCGCGGGAGGTGGAGGACTTCCTGACGGACCTTTTGATGACAGATCGGACGCGGGTGAACCGGCGGGAGCCCGTGCGAGAAGGCGAGCGGGTCTGTTGTTGTTTCTTATTGTGGCTTTGGGCCTTCGGTTTGAGACAGCGCCCCGCGTCTTTTCTCCTCTTTCCCCCACCCCTCCCTCCTCCCATCCTTGCGTCTGCCCTCCACGTGCACGCCATTTACACGCCTCGTGACCCAATAGGGAGCTCCACCTAAGGCCCCAGTGGCGAGGTTCGCATTTGGGCGTCACGCCCGTGTCGGTACAGCCCTCACGCATTCCGCGGTCCCATAGGGAGCTCCACCGAAGGCCCCAGTGGCGGCGTCCACCGGCGGCCGCCCGACCCATTCCGGAACACCCTCACACGCTTTGTGGCCCCAAAAGGAGATCCACCGAAGGCCCCAGTGGCGACGTCCGTATACGGGCGCCACGCTCATTTTGATGCACCTCTCACACGTTTCGTCTCCCCATGGGGAGCTCCAGGCAGCCGCCCCACCTATTTCGGCATACCCTCATACGCTTCGTGGCTCCACAGGGAGCTCCACCGAAGGCCCCAGTGGCTTCGGCCGCCCGACCCATTCTGGCCCATCCCTCACGCGCTTCGTGGCTTCATACGGAGCTCCACCGAAGGCCCCAGTTGCGGTATCCACGCGCGGCCGCCCCACCCATGTCGGCACACCTTTTCACACGCTTCGTGACACCGTAGGGAGCTCGAACGAAGGCCCCGGTGGCTGTGTCCACACACCTCGCACGCTTCGTGGCTCCACAGGGAGCTCCACTGGAGGTCCAAGAGGCGATGTCCACATGCGGCCGCCCCGCCCACGTCGGCGCACCCTTCACACGTTGAGTGGCCCCATAGGGAGCTCCACCGAAGGCCCCAGTGACAGCGCTCGCATGGGCGCCTCGTCCCATGTCGACGCACCCTTCATACGCTCCGTGGCCCCCAATGGAGATCCACCGAAGGTGATGCTTCCAACGACGGTGCTCGCAACTGCATCTGGTTGGGGTAAGGCACTGCGACCCAGGACGCCCAGATTGAAGAACGCTAAAGTCCCAAAGACCCGCTCACCCCAAGACCCTTGGACCCGACTGCCCGAAGGCCACACGGCCCGTGGACCCTAATTCCCTGAGACTCTACGACCTTGACGACCTATGTCCCGAATGCGCGAACATCTTAGGAATCGAAGACGGTGAGACCCGAATGCGTCAATATCCGAAGACCCTGATGCCCATCATACCGCAAGGTCCGACCACGTTGATATAGGACCTTGTCGCACTGAGACGCCAAATCTGGAATACCCGAAGACCTTCATGCCTTGATACCTTGAGGCCTCCAGACCATACGAGCCAAGGACTGTGGCACCCTGAGATCCTACGGCCCACAGACCCTAAGACGCTAATGCCCTTTGACGCTAAATACCATGGTACCTTGAGGCTCTAGGGCCCCAGGCACTGAGACCCTCGCGTACGGACGCCCTCAGCACCGAATACCCTCCGATCTGAAGACCCTGAGGCCCTCGGGCCGTAAACCCCCAAGGCGCTTAGGCACACAGGATTTAATACACTGATGCCTCATGGCCCTAAGACCCTAGGGCCATAATGCCCCCAAACCAATCAAATATATGACCTTATGGCCTTACTGCCCTAAGACCCTAAGTGTCCTTGCAGATTCATGGGGCACGACGTGCGTGAAGCGTGCTTTCAAATGCGGATCCATTACGCCGCCGCAGGAGCAGTTCAGGGCCTACGGTAGGTTCGCGCGGCTTTGGCGCGCCTGCGACGCCTGCGAAGGCGTTCAAGGTTGAATTCTGTGACGCGGAAGCACCGATGGACATGGTAACGCCATCGGACCGAATGAATTCAACTTTGAACGATCGGGCGGCGATCGATTGCAGGTTGAACGATCGACGCGGTGTCAAAAACCGTTGCGCGCGCCGACGCCGAACGAACCTAGCGTATGGGGTTCCATCGGCCACGAAGTGCGCTAGGGTGTGCCGAAAGCAGGCCTCATTGAGTTGTCTTGAGAAGCTAACAGAAAGTCCCTGGGGAATGCAGTGCGTGGTGGGTGTGTCAAACTCAGGATCCGCTCCGCCGTCTTGAGGGCTAGCTGGGGACCTGTAGGAATGCATAGGGCACGAATTGAGTGAGGGGTGTGCCGAAATCCGCCAGCTGATGAGGCACGAAGTGCATGAGTGGTGTGCCGGAATGGAGATCCATTTAACCGTCTTGGGGGACAGTTGGTGGCCTCTGGAGGTTTGTGGGTCACAAGCTGCGTGAGTGGTGGGCCGAAGTCAAGCCCCATTGAGCATTTTTGGAAGGCCAGCTCAGGGCTCTCCGGAGTCCATGGGGCACGAAATGCGTAAGTGGTGCGTCGAAATCAGGGTCACTTCAGCCCTCTTGAGGGCCAAGGGATCGCCTCTGGAGATCCAAGGGGCACGGAGTGCGCGAGGGCTGTGCTGAAGCGATGTTCCCAGGTGCTGCTTTTGGGGTCAGCTGAAAGTCCCTGCTGATCCATGGGGCACGAAGTCTGTGAGGCGTGTGCCGAACTCAGAATCCATGCGCTCGTCTTGCGAGCCAGCTGAGGGCCTCGGGGAGTCCATGGGCAGCGATCTGCGCAAGGGATGCGTGGAAGTGGAGCGCTCTTAAGTCATTTAGGAGGCCAGCTGAGGGTCCCTTAGGGGCCATGGGGTACGACGTGCGTGAGGCGTGTGCCGAAATGCGGACCCATTCGGTTGTCTTGGAGATCAGTTGGGGGCCGCTGGGGTTCCATGGGCCACGAATTGCGTGAGGGGTGCGCCTGGAGTGTGTGAGGGGTGTGTCGACACGGAGATCCTTTCAGCCGTCGTGAGGGCCAGCTGATGGCCCCGTGAGGTTTATGGGGCACGAAGTGCTTGAGGGGTGTGCCGAGAACAGGCTCCATCCAGCCATCTTAAAAGCCAGCTGAGGGCCCTGTGGCGTCCATGGGGCACGAACTGCGCGAATGGTTCGTCGAAATCAGGATCCCTTCAGCCTTCTTGAGGCCTGCAGAGGTCCAAGGGGCACGACGTGCGTGAGGGGTGTGCTCGATGCTTCCAGAAGCCGCTTTAGGTGCCAGCTCAGACCCTCTCGATTTACATGCAGCACGAAGTTCGTGAGGGGCGCGCCGGATGCATTGTATTATCATATTTGTGGAGCGTTGTGGGGGCCCCAGTGTGTCCGCATCGAGCCCGAGCGCCTTCTGGGGCCCTCTTGGCTCGCCCGTCTCCCCCCCCCCCTGGTTCCCCCGCGCCCCCCCCCCTCGCCCCCCCCGCCCCCATTGCGGTTACGGCCCCCCCCCCGACAAGGGACAAGCAATCACTCTAGGGGGAACAAAACATACATGACTCGCGGGGAGGGGGAATTCTCGGAGGGGTGAGATAGACAACGCGACTTTACTCCAGGGGGGAACGCACTCCGAGGGCTGGAGAGAGTTTTGACTCCTCACAGCAAACAAAGACGTTACGGGGGTGCAGGCAAGATTTGTATCCATATCCACCGCGTCTTAGAGTTTCGGGACCCCTTCCGCAGGAACCAGAGGCGCAGTGGATATACACAAATCTGACCCCTAGAGGCTCTAGATGTTTATTCATATTCACTGCGCCTCGGCCTTTTGGCGTCCCTTCCCAGAGAGTGCAAGACGCAGTTGATAATTATGGGTATAAATCTTGCTCGCAGGGGCAACCAATAAATTCTGGTTCGAAGGCGAGCCGACGCCGGGGCAGGTGGCCTGGGACACGCTGTGCGCGGTGTACCCCGAGGCCTTCCGCGGGCCGCGCCACTCGCAGCCGTGGCCGAGTTTGGCGGCCGCGGCGTCTGATCTGCGGAATACCAGGAACAGGGTGACCTCGCAGCACGCCGTGTCGCAGCTCCTGCGCTTCGCGGACGGGAAGGCTCGAAAAACAAACAGCGGCACAAACATAATTCTCTGAGGTCCGGGCAGGTTTCTGAAATCGGAGTTGGGCCCTCCTTGCGGCGCCTCCAGCGCGGCCCCTTGCGCACTTCGCGCGCCGGGGGTGGGGGTCTCAAATCCCCGCGGACCTCCGAGAAGTTATCGAAGACGCCTACGGCGAATCACCGCCGCCCCCTGCCCTTTCGGAAGCGCCTATGTGGCCGAACGTTGTGGCCAGAGGCCTGCCAAGCTATCGGACCATGTGTTCCCCGAATCGGTTTGGAAAGTTTCCGGGGAACACGTGGGGATGAATGAACAAGATGAGGAAGAGGAAGAGGCCTCTTGGGCCGTCTTGAGCCGTCGGAATGGCGAGAAGAAACAAATGCCAACATCCTTGAAGCACTTAGGGAAAATAATGATTCTGGTCTCTTCGGGCCCTCCTGGAGGACTTCTTGGAGGCCTCTTAGGCCGTCTTGGAGGCCTCTTGGGGGCCTCTTGGGTCGTCTTGGGCAATATTGACGCCATGTTAGACCGTCTTGGAGGCATCTTGGGCCGTCTTGGAGGCATCTTGGGGGGCGAAGCTATCGGATCATGCGTTCCCCGAGTCGGTTTGGAAAGCCTTCAGGGAACACGTGGGGGAGGAAAAGGAAGAGGAGAAGAAGGAGGACAAAGGAGAAGGGGGAGGATGCCTCTTCGGAGCCTCTTGAGGTACTCTTGGGCTCGCTTGGGCCATCTTGGGAGCCTCTTGGGGCCGTCATGGGCCTCTTGGGCGATCTTTGGGAGCTCTTGGGCCGTCTCGGGCCGTCGGAAGGCCGAAGAAAAGCAAATCCCTCATCAATCCTTCAAACACTCATGGGAAATCAATGATTTGGGCCTTTTCCAGCCTTCCTGGAGGCCCTCTTGGAGGCCTCTTGGCCGTCTTGGGGCCATCTTCGGCCGTCTTGGTGGGCTCCTGGCCCGTCTGACGCCGTCGGAAGCCGTTTGGGGGCCCTCTCTGGGCCGACTTGGGGCCCTCTTGGGGTGCTCCAGGGCCGTTTTGGAGGCCATCTTGGGCGTCTTAAAGGCCTCCTGGCCCGTCTTGGGGACCTCTTGGGGCCGTCTTGGGGGCCTCTTGGGTCTATTTGGAACCATATTGGAGACCTCTTGGGCGATCTTTGGGTGCTCTTGGGCCGTCTCGGTCCGTCGGAAGTCCGAAAAGAAGCAAATGTCAAAATCCTTCAAAAACCTTGAGAATATCAATGTTGTTGGTCTTTTCTTGCTTTCCTGGAGGCCCTCTTGGAAGCCAGTTGGTCCGTTTTGGGCCAGCTTCGAGCCAACTTTGGCCATCTTGGTGGGTTCCTGGCACGCCTGACGCCATCGGGAGCCGTCTTGGAGGCCTCTCTGGACCGACTTGGGGTCCTCTTGGGGCGCTTCGGTGCCGTCTTGGATGCGTCTTGGGCGTCTTGGAGGTTTCTTGGGCTGTCTTTGGGCCGTCTTGGAGGCCTCTTGGGCCGTCATGGGGCCCTCTTGGAGGCCTCGTGGGCGATCTTGAGGCGATCTTGGCGGCCTCTTGGACCGTCTTGAGCTGTCAGAATGCCGAGACGAGGCAAATGCCAAAATCCTTCAAACCTTAAAACAAAACAATGATTTTGGCCCCTTCGGGCCCTCCTGGAGAACCTCTTGGAGGCCTCTTGGGCCGTCTTGGAGGCCTCTTGGGCCGTCGTGGGCCATTTTGTGGCTATCTTACGCCATCTTGAGTACATCTTGGGCCGTCTTGGAGGCCATCTTGGGCGTCTTAAAGGCCTCCTGGCCAGTCTTGGGGACCTCTTGGGGCCGTCTTGGGGGCCTCTTGGGTCTATTTGGAACCATCTTGGAGACCTCTTGGGCGATCTTTGGGGGCTCTTGGGCCGTCTCGGTCCGTCGGAAGGCCGAGAAGAAGCAAATGTCAAAACCCTTCAAAAACCTTGGGAAAATTCTAGACGCTTCGCGTAACCCCATCAGTTTCTTGGTATTCAGCTACAGCCAGCCCCTTCACTCGCCGGCCCGCCGCTGAGGTGCTGCGTGAGGCTCCGCCCCGCCGCTTTAGGTTAATTTGTCGTTGCGTGCCTCGCTTTGACTGGACTCGCCGCTGGCGCGCTCGCCTGCGGCCGCTTACTAAAACGTAACCCCACCAGCCCATCCAGAAACGATGCCCAGAGGAAGTGCCTCGATCAGGGAAGTGGGCAGCACACAGAGGAAGGGTCCCCCAGTGGAGGCCTCTTGGAGCGTCTTGGGGGCCTCTTGGCGGTCGCGGACGCCTCCTAGAGCGCCTTGGGTGCCTCGGAGAGCTTCTTGGGGCCTCTTGGGGATCTCTTTGGGGCCTCTCGGAGGCCTCTGGGGCGCCTGTCGGGGCCTCCTGGGGCCTCCTGGGCGTCTCTTGGGGCCCTCTTGAAGCGCTCTTGGGAGCCTTGGGAGCGCTCTTGGAGCCCTCTTGGGCCATCTTGAAGTCATCGTGAAGCCTCGGATGGCCATCGGAAGCCAAAAGGCGAGAAAGCCCAAAACATTGATGTTCCTAAGGTTTTGGAAGGATTTTGGCCTCTTCGGGGCCTCCTGGGGGAGCTCTTTGGCCACTTGGAGCCGTCTTGAAGCGGTATTGGGGCCTCTTGGAGCATCGTGGGAGCCATCTTGAGGCAGACTGGGGTATCTTGAGCCATCTTGGAGGTCCTCTTGGGCTCTCCCAGGCGCTCTTGAAGTCATCTGAGCAGTGCCCCCTCCCAGGAGGCCCAAATGTGGCCCTTAGTACAATCAATGATTCTGGCAGTCTCGCCGAGGCCTCTTGGAGCGTCTTGGGGTGCTTCTGGGGGGCTTCTTGGGGCCTCTTGAGAGTCTCGTGGGAGCCTCTTAGGGGCATCCTGGGGCCTCTTGGGGGCTTCTTGGGGCCACATGGGGCCATCTTGGGGCCATCTCGGGGCCTCCTGAGCGCCTCTAGGAGCCATCTTGGAGGAGATCGATCACAGGAGGGGAGGGACTCAATTAGCCCCCCCCCTCAGGAGGCCAAAATGGGGCCAAAACCTTTTGTAAAACCAATGATTTTGGCTTCCTCGCCGATGCCGTTTTGGACGCTCCAACGCGTTGGGGACCCCCCCGTCGAGGTCCAGGGGAGGGGGTAGGGGGAGGGGTAAGCCCCTCTCCGAAGGGGAAGAAGGAGGGGTAACAGAGGAAACACTCTAGACCACCTACGCCCAAAGGGCTTGTGGGATTCATGTTCTGGGCCTTTTTCTGGCTTTCCTGGAGGCCCTCTTGGAAGCCAGTTGGTCCGTTTTGGGCCAGCTTCGAGCCAACTTCGGCCATCTTGGTGGGTTCCTGGCACGTCTGACGCCGTCGGGAGCCGTCTTGGAGGCCTCTCTTGACCGACTTGGGGTCCTCTTGGGGCGCTTCGGTGCCGTCTTGGAGGCGATCTTGGGCGTCTTGGAGAATTCTTGGGCCGTCTTGGGGCCCTCTTGGGGCCGTCTTGGAGGCCTCTTGGGCCGTCATGGGGCCCGCTTCGTGGGCGATAGTGGGGCGATCTTGGCGGCCTTTTGGGCCGTCTTGAGCCGTCGGAATACCGAGAAGAGGCAACTGCCCAAATCCTTCAAAAGCCATAGGAAAATCTATGATTTTGGCCTCTGCAGGCCCTCCTGGAGCACCTCTTGAAGGCTTCTTGGGCCGTATTGAAGCCTCTTGGGCCGTCTTGGGCCATCTCGAAGCTATCTTACGCCATCTTGGGTACCTCTTGGGCCGTCTGGGATGCATCTTGGAGGCCATCTTGGGCCGTCGTGGAGCCGTCTGGACCAGGAAAACCCTCTGGAGCCGGGTCCGGGCAAATTTTCGGCATCCTTTCGGGTGGCCGGCGGGACGCGCCGGAGCCCCAGGGGGAGTTCTTTTGGAAAAAACAACAAACAAAAACGATAGGATTCAGCACGCCAGGCACCCCTTTTGCAAGCAACAGGGGGCGGCGGATCGAATTGCATTCGCCTTCGGCTTATCCCGCCACCGTGCCTGGGCTGTGGCTCAGTGGGGGGCCTCGTGGATGCATGTGAGTGTCTCTTGGGATGCCTCTCGGGGAACTCTTGGAGCGCTCTTGTGGGCTTCCGGGAGGCCTCTTTGGAGCCTCTTGGAGGACGTCTTGGGGGCCTCTCAGGGACCTTTTGGAGCGTCTTGGGTGGGCCTCGGGAGCCTCTGGGGGGCTCTTGATGTCATTCTGGGGCGGAAGGCTCCCCCTCTCAGGCCCCTCTTGGGGTCCTCTTGGGACCCTCTTGGGTTCCTCTTGGGCCGTCTTCGGGGCCTTTTGGGCCGTCTGGGGGCACTCTCAAGGCGTCTTGGGCCCTCTCTGGGGGCCTCTTGGACAGTCCTGGGGCGCTATTACAGGATTCTAGGGCGGTCTTGGAGCGTTGCGAGCTGAAAAAGGCGAGACGGCCAAATCCACTGGACACCGAAAGCAAAACTACGATTTGACCTCTTAGGGCCCTCTTGGGATTCCTCTTGGAGCGCTCTTGGGGCCTCTTGGGGGCCTCTTGGGGATCCTCTCAGGCCAACGTCTGGGACAGATCTTGAGGCAACTTGAGGCCATCTTATATTGTTTTTCCCAACCATCCTGTGCTGGGTCCTCGTTTTGAAGTGACAGCGCCTTGCGTCCACCTCTCCTCTCCTTCCTCCTCTCCCTCCCTCCTCCTCCAATCATCATCATCAGCATCATCATCATCAGCATCATCAGCATCATTAGCATCATCAGCATCATCAGCATCATCAGCATCATCATCAGCATCAGCATCAGCATCAGCATCATCATCATCATCATCATCATCATCATCATCATCATCATCATCATCATCATCATCATCATCATCATCATCATCATCATCATCATCATCATCATCATGGTTCCCGAACCGCCCAGGCCGACGGGCGGCGCCTCGGAGCGACCCGAACCACAGAATCCCAGCGAATCTTGAGCTTGCGGCCGTGGCGGGCCGTCGCTGGCGGAGGCCGCCCCGGCGCCTCGCGGCGTCGACAGTGGCTCCCTGCTCCTCCAGCGCGATCTGGAGGGATCCCGCCGCCGCTTGCTGGGGCGCCTCTTCCGCGGCCTCGACTCGCGGGCCACGAGGCTTTGGCGCAGGATCGCGGATGACGACGAGCGCCAGCGGAACCTGCTCTCGCATGCTGGCCGGAGCAACGGCACGTTTTGGCTCGCCATCCCGCACGCGCGCTGGATGCAAGCCGGATCGGCGATCTGGCACATCGCTTTCTTGAGGCGGCTCGGCGTTGCTTGTGCGCCGCCCGGGGCCACCTGCAGGCTGCGGTGTGCCGCTGCCGTCGAGGACGCCGGCGTCGAAGTGCAGGAGTGCGGCGAGGCGCTTGGCCGGCGCGCTGCGCACGTCCTGCCCTGCCCCTGGAGCGCCACGCGGCTGCGGGCCCACACGGGGGCCGTGCGCGGCCTCGAGGAGGAGCTGCGCTCAGCAGGCGCCGTCGTCGACCTGGAGCGGCGGGTGCCGGAGCTCCGGCACGATCCAGGAGGCGGTCATGTCCCTCGTCGTCGCGTTCCCTGCCAGCGCCGAGCGCTGGTGGCTGGACGTCAACGTCCGGTCGCCATTCAACGCCTCGCTCGCCGACGCGGGCCGCGTCCCTGGGGCCGCTGCCGCCGCTGGCGACCAGGCCAAGGCGTCGCGCTACGGCGAGCAGGTGCACAGCATCGCCGTCGAGGCGGGCGGTCGCCTCCGCGCCGGCGCCGCCGCGGCGCTCGCGGAGCTCGCAGCCGCCTCGCAGGCGCACGGCCGCCTGCAGCGCACCGGCCGCCGGGGGACGACGCCGCACGGCGCGGCGGATCGCCGAGCGCTTGTGTACCTTGGTGGTGTTTTGGGCCGCGGACGCCACTCTGATGGCGCTGGGGCACTGAAGCGCCGCGGCGGCGGCGCTCCTCCTCCTCCTCCTCCTCCTCCTCCTCCTCCTCCTCCTCCTCCTCCTCCTCCTCCTCCACCCCCTCCTCCTCCTCCGCGAGGCGCTGAACCACGCGTGGTTCTTGACGAAGGGCACTATGCCCATGGGCGCAGGGCCGAAGGCAGAGTTAGAGAGGGTAGTGGAGAGGCAGCTCCAGCAGATGGTGCAGAGCGGAATGCTCAAGAAAAAATAAGAAAACGATTTCCCCAGACGGTGATCGACATAGTTCACGATCCACGTGGATTGGGCACACTTCGTACGATGGTGGAGGGAGGGAGCAGTCATGCAGCAAACCTTTACCAGCAAGTGATGCAGTGTAGAAGTGAGCGTCAGTCGAGTTTAGAATACGACCAAATCGCAAAGGGCGATTCTGCCTGAGCTCCTGGCGCGCCCCCGAGAGGGGTAGCTAAGGAGCTCCTCCATTTTCCTGGGGGCCGCGGATTTGTGTTTTTTCTTTTCCGTAGTCTCTGGTGCCCGTAGCTCCCATCTCTCTGACTCCTGTGGCCTAGCTGCGGGACTGTGTTCGTGCACCCCTGGTTGGGAGACTGGGGTTCGAGTTGTCGTGGGGGTTGCGGGCCTTGCCGCAAAAGTGCGGGGCCATCCCCGCTGCCGGGGCAAGAGCCCGCGCCGTGTGTGCAGCTCTCGCCCCAGGCCTCTGGCGGCTTCCCACCTGCGGCCCACCTCCATATGTGACGGAGGGGCACTCACGCTCTGGACTGGCAGGAAGCATACGCCCCCTACTGAGCCACCACCACCACCTCCTCCGCCTCCTCCTCCTCCTCCTCCTCCTCCTCCTCCTCCTCCTCCTCCGCCTCCACCTCCTCCTCCTCCTCCTCCTCCTCCTCCTCTCCCCCACGGCTGTCCTGTCAGGAAGACTTCGGCGCGCCGAAGGCGTCCGGATCATCATCATCATCATCATCATCATCATCATCATCATCATCATCATCATCATCATCATCATCATCATCATCATCATCATCATCATCACCATCACCACCACCATCACCATCACCATCATCAGCATCATCACCATCACCACCACCACCATCACCATCAAATTCGCCACCGCCATCATAATCACCATCGTCAACACCAGTGCGGCCATCATCATCACCATCGTCGTCATCGTTCCCCGCCCATTCCTGCACGCCCTCACACGGTTCGTGGCCCAATATGGAGCTCCACAGAAGGCCCTGGTTGCAGGGTTCGCATACAGTTCCACTTTCATTTCGGCGCACCCCTCACGCGGCCCGTGGCCCCAAAGAGAGCTCCACCGAAGGCCCCAGCGGCAGGATTCGCATGCAGTTCCGCCCCCTATTTCGGTGAACCCCTCACACTGTTCGTGGTGCCATAGGGGTCTCCACCGAATGCCTCAGCGGCAGGGTTCGCGTGCAGTTTTGCTTTCATTTCGGCGCACCCCTCACACGGCCCGTGGCTCCAGAGGGAGCTCCATCGAAGGCCTCAGTGGCAGGGTTCGCGTGCAGTTCCACCTTCATGTCGGCGCACCCCTCACACGGCTCGTGGCCCCATAGGGAGCCCCACCGAAGGCCACAGCGGCAGGGCTCGCATGCAGTTCCGCCCCCATGTCAGTGCCCCTCTCGCACGGTTCGTGGCCCCACAGGGAGCTCCACCGAAGGCCACATGGGCAAAGTTCGCATGCAGTTTCGCCCGCATTTCGGCGCACCCTTCACACGGTTCGTGGCCCCATAGGAAGCTCGATCGAATGCTTCAGTGGCAAGGTTCGCATGCGGTACCACCTTCAATTTCGGCGCACCCCTCACGCGGTTCGTGGCCCGATGGGGAGCTCCACCGAAGACCCCAGCGGCAAAGTTCGTGTGCAGTTCCAACCCCATTCGGCGTACGACTTACACGTTTCGCGACCTCAGAGGGAGCTCCACCGCAAGCCCCAGTGGCAAAGTTCGCATGCAGTTCCACCCTCATCTCGGCGCACACCTCACACGGTTCGTGGCCCCATCGGGATTTCCACCGAAGACCCCAGCGGCAAAGTTCGTGCGCAGTTCCGCGTCCATTTTGGCATACAGTTCACACGGTTCGTGGCCCCATAGGGAGTTCCACAGAAGGTTCCAGTGGCAAAGTTCGTATGCGGTTCCACCCTCATGTCGGCATAAACCCTCACACGGTCCATGGCCCCAAAGGGAGCTCCACCGAAGGCCCCAGTGGCAAAGTTCGCATGCAGTTCCACTTTCATGTCGGCATACCCCTCACACGGTCCGTGGCCACAGAGGGAGCTCCATCGAAGGCGCCAGTGGCAAAGTTCGCATGCGGTTCTCACCCCATGTCGGCACAACCCTCACACGGTTCGTCTCCGCATAGGCTGCCCTACCAACGGCCCCAGTGGCAAAGTTCGCATGCCGCATGCAGTCCCGCGTCCATTTTGGCACACCCTTTGCACGGTTCGTGCCTCCATAGAGAGCTCCACCGAAGGCCGCAGTGGCAAAGTTCGCATGCGGTTCCACCCCCAGTCTGGCACACCCTTCACATTGTTCGTAGCCCCATAGGGAGCTCCACCGAAGGCCCCAGTGGCAAAGTTCGTATGCGGTTCCACCCCCATTTTGAGCACACCCCTTGCACGTTTCGTGACCCCATAGGCTGCCCTACCAAAGGCCCCAGTGACAAAGTTCGCATGCGGCTCCGCCCCCACTTTGGCACACCGCTTGCACGGTTCGTGGCCCCATGGGGAGCTCCTCCGAAGGCCCCAGCGGCAAAGTTCGCATGCGGTTCCACCCCAGTCTGGCACACCCTTCACACGGTTCGTGGCCCTATAGGGAGCTCCACAGAAGGCCCCGGCAAAGTGCGCATGCAGTCCCACACACATTTCGGCACATTCCTCACACGTTTCGTGGCCCCATAGGGAGCTCCACCGAAGGCCCCAGTGACAAAGTTCGTATGCGGTTCCACCCCTATTTCGGCACAAGCCTCACATGATTCGAGGCCCCATAGGGAGCTCCACCGAAGGCCCCAGTGGCAAAGTTCGCATGCGGTTCCACCCCCATTTTGGCACACCCCTTGCACGTTTCGTGGCCCCATAGGCTGCCCTATCAAAGGCCCCAGTGGCAAAGTTCGCATGCGGTTGCATCCCCATTTTGGCATACTTTTCACACGGTTCGTGGCCCCATAGGGGGATCCACCGAAGGCCCCAGTGGCAAAGTTTGCATGCACTTCCACCCTCATCTCGGCATACCCGTCACACGGTTCGTGGCCACATAGGGAGCTCCACCGAAGGCCCCAGCGGCAAAGTTCGCATGCGGTTCCACCCTCAATTTGGCATACCCTTCACATTGTTGGTGGCCCAATCGGGAGCTCCACCGAAGGCCTCAGCGGCAGCGCCCGCATGCGGTTCCACCCCCGTGTCGGTGCACCCCTCACACGCTTCGTGGCCTCACAGGGGGCTCCACCGCATGCTCGATCGACAGCGCCCGCATGTGGTTCCACCTTCGACTTCCGCGAAGAATCCCTCACACGGTCCGTGGCCCCATACGGAGCTCCACCGAAGGCCCCAGTGGCGGCGCACGCATGGCGGTCCCGCCACATTTCGGCACACCCTTCACGCGCTATGTGGCCCCATAAGAAGATCCACCGACGGCAGTTTTCAAAACGAGGGTACCCACAACTGGATATGGTTGGGCCCTTCGCCAGGCTAATTGGGGTCTCTTGGGGCCATCCAGACGAGTTTTGGGGCCCTCCTGGGCGGGGCTGCCATCCCAGAGGCCCACGCGACAAAAATGAGGAGTGCCTGGAAAACTGGAGTCCAGGCCTTCTAGGAACCTTGAACCCCAGTCCCTCTCCGGGCTGCATAAGCCTTGGGGCATTCCATGTCGTGCTGAAGTCACAGTGGTAGATGCTCATGCCGCTTTTCCCAATAGTTTCGCTAGAGTGCTCTAATAGTGCTAGTAAGAAGACCACACAGTAGCCGCACTCCCACAGGGGCACGGTGATCCCAGGACCGCCTCCCTAGATCTCCCGGTCTGGCAGCCGTCTCGCTTTAGATTTCCCCACAATGTATTCAGGCCCCGTGCTATCGCTGCAATGCGGGCTACATGTTTGGTCTGGACGGCCACGATCCCGTGCACAGAAAACTCCGAGGTGCTCATGGCCGTGCTCTCACCCTGTCCCAGCAGCATCTCAGACCCTTCGCCGACCTCCCACTCCTCGACCCCGCCTCTTCCCCCATGCTGCGGTGGAGCTCGTTGCTTTGGTAATGCCGCTGCTTGCTTCTCAAGAGGCTGCGGCGGTGGCCTGGCAGGTCCTTGAGTACGTGGACAGCCCGGACGCAGAAGGTCTAGGCCTCCCAGATGGGGTCGGAGCAGATGGGGTCGGAGGATCGCGCCGCATCGCCGATGCATCGGCGATGGGGCTCGATGTGGAGCCCGATGTTCTCCATGCCAGCGTCGCCGATGCATCGCCGACGTCGCCGATGCACCCCCGATGCATCGCCGCACATCGGCGCTGCGGTCCAATCCTCCAACCCCATCTACGCTGACCCCATCTAAAAAGCCTCTAGAAGGGGTCGCTTCCTTTTGGCCCCTCGTCAAGCGTGTGCGGATCACGGGGCCGTTCGGCGCCCACCCCGCGGTCGTCCTGGTGGACGCCCCCGGCGTGCAGGACGCGAACAGCGCGCGCGGCGCCGTCGTCAAGCAACTGCTCGAGGAGGCCGGGGGGGTCGTGATCGTCTCCGCCATCAAGCGAGCGGCCAACGAGAAGGTTGCCCAGGAGATGCTCGGCGAGCGCTTTCGACGGCAGCTGCTCATGGACGGGCATTACGGCGGAGCACTGGCTTTCGTCGCGACCTGCACGGACGAACTGACACTCTCGGAGCTCCGGCGCAACCTTCAGATCGACGAGAGCGTTGGCCAGCTTGACGCCGCGAAGCACAGGAACCTGAAAACGAAACAGAAGATCGCGAAGGACTGCTACGCGGGGCTTCGCAGAGTCCAGCAGCAGGGGGAGATGCGCAGGACTCGAGGAATAGCAATCGCCATTACTCACACACACATATAATATATATAATATGTATATAATAATATAATTTCGCCAGCGTGGACCCCAAACAGTAAGTTATTGCCGGCCACGCGTTGCAATCTATGTGGTGCAATTGGTTTTCACACACGAGTTGACACATCCCACGCTCTTGTAAACATCCCACCCACCCACCCACCCGCAACTTGGTTTGCAAAACCCATGCGGTGGCGATTGCGATGCATGCTTGGCGCTGGCTGGTGCAATTTGCCGCCGCGCCAACCCCAACACGCGCGCGCAGCGGCCAGGTAGTTTGGCGCGACCGACGCGGCCGCGGTGGCGCTGAACGCGGGGGACATCCCAGCGGGCACTTCACTGCGAGTCCGCGACTGGGGCGGGCGCGGTATCATGGCAACGTCGACAACGGTATACACAATGATGATCGTAGCGGTGCTGGTGCCGATGTTGACAACGACGAAGGCGCGGCCAGTGCGGGCGCCGATACTGATCACGTTGACGACGACGAGGACGGCGTCCTCGCGTCGGCGACGAAAGTTTTGGACAAGTCCGACATGCGCGCGCGGCCGACGCGCGAGAGTGGCCCGCATGCTTGTATTTGACACGGATCGTGCCCCCCCCCCCCCCAGCACGCGCGCAAGGGCGTGCGAATGATGCCGGCATGCGGCGCCAGAGTCCCGTTTGGCAGCGTTTCATGAACATGTTGAAACAAACTCTTTGATCTTGTCGTCAAGAATGCACAAGAGCGCGATCGCACGCTTTTTTGTTGCGATTGTTGTTTTGAAAGTGATGTGACGAAACCATATGTTTGTTGTATGTGATTTGGACACTCGGTTTTTAAACTGTGGCGGAACCGATGGCTTTTGAATGATTCCGGCATGCGCGCGCGAAGCGCGCTCGCACTTGGTCCCATTTTGTTGCAAAGGATTCTCGCGACGGCACGCGCGCAAGGGAGTTCGAACGATTTCGACATGCGCGCGCGAAGTCCTTTTGGCAGAATCGTATGAAATGTTGAGCGACTGTTTTTTTTCGTGAGACGTCGCAAACGCGCGCGAACACATTATTTTTTGGCGAGAACACAACGCAGTTTTGTTCGTTGTCACAAAAACGCGGACCTGGGAACCTTCTACCCCTGCCGCCCCGCCGCTGGCGCCGCGGTTCGCCGCGGTGCCTGTGGTGGGGCGGGTTGGGTCGGTTGGGGGGTGCGTTTGGGGTGGCTCGCCTCAGGTCTTCATGGACTTCGTGTTCCTCGTCTTGTTCGTGTTCTTTGTCCACGTCTCCCTGCGGTGGGGGGAGGGTAAATATACCCCCGCGTCGCGCGCGCTGCCCCGAGGGCGCTTGTCGGCCGAACGCGAGGCTGGCGCCCTCGGTGCGCGCGTCGCGGGCCGCCGTGGCGGCTTTTGTTTCAATGAGGCCGTGTCAATGCGACCGTGCCTGGGCCGTGTCAATGCGACCGTGCCAATACGACCGTGTCAGTGCGACCGTGTCGATAAAGCCGTGTCAATGCGACCGTGCTATGGCCGTGTCAATGCGACCGTGCCAATACGACCGTGTCAGTGAGACCGGGTCAATAAGGCCGTGTCAATGTGACCGTGCCTGGGCCGTGTCAATGCGACCGTGCCAATACGACCGTGTCAGTGCGACCGTGTCGATAAAGCCGTGTCAATGCGACCGTGCTATGGCCGTGTCAATGCGACCGTGCCAGTATGACCGCGTCAATGTGACCGTGTTGATGCGGCCGTGTCAATGCGACCGTGCCTGGGCCGTGTCGACGCGACCGCGCCAGTAAGATCGCGTCAATGCGACCGCGTCTGTAAGGCCGTGTCAATGCGACCGCGTCTTTTCGATTGCGTCAACGCAACGCGTCAATTACGCCGTGTCGTTGCGACCGTGCCAATTTCTCCGCGTCACTGCGTCCGTGTCTTGTGGGGCGTGTCAAGGGGACCGTGCCGTTGCGACCATGTCAACGCGTCCGTCTCGCCGCGACCGTATCAATGCGAATGTGTAAAAGCGAATGCGTCATTGCGACCGTGTCAGCGCGACCGTGTCAGTGCGACCACGCCAATATTACCGCGTCAATGCGACCGGTTTCCGCCGCCCAGCATGTTGACATTCGTCAGGAGACGCGCGCAATGATCGTTGTTACGCGACGGAGCCAGCAGTGCGCGCAGGCAGAAGACGCGAGCCGCATACGCCGTTGGGCGCGCCGCGGCCGCACCAGCGATGTGCGCTGCAACGCCCACGCTTTCCATGAGCCTGGCTGATTTTCTTGCGGCCCATGATGATACAAGCCGCGGCGCCGAGTGGCTTCGGCAGTGCGCAGCCCTATGCCAGGCGCCGCGAGCGGCTGCGAATGCCGCCACGACGCGCCAGTGCCTCGCGCGCAGGACAATGAGTTGGAGTCAGTGCGTGATCTTGCGTTTGCAGATCCCGGCGCACTGCAGGGCAACCCGTCCGCGGGTAAGCGCTCCTTCTTAGCCAGAGTGATGGCTGCCGCGAAGTCTCTGACAGCGGAGGAACAGCGCGCGGCTGATCCGGCCAGCGCAGGCAGCGCGGCCGGGAGCGGGTCAGCACCTGAGCCGATGTGCCACGTGGACATTCAGGCGAAGTTGCAAGGAGGCGCTCTGAAGGATGTGGGCCAGGCGTTTTGGCCGCGGTCCGCGGCGGTCGACGCCCTCGAGACGGACGTGAAGCGGCTGCAGCGTCGCGGCATCAAGCGGCCATTTGTGTTCGCTGACCTGAAGAAGTTCTTGCCGTCCTGGGCAGAATCGAAGAGCGCGAAAGAGGAGGCTGATGAGGGCCCGCCCATGTCTCGGGATCTTCGCGACCTTTCGCGCGCGCTCGGCGTAGCGAACCCAGTCAAAGCGAAGTCGCTCACTTTCACGCAATGGCATGCCGCCTTCGACAGGTGCACGCGTCTGCGCGCGGGGCGCGCACCCAAGAGCAACGGCGTCGTCCGAGCGCGTAGGTACGCCATCGCTTGCGTCTGCACGGAGCAGATGACGCTGGCTGCGACGATTCGCCACCGCCAGAACGTCATGAAGGCCCGCCTATCGCCGTTGCTCTGCGGATCCAGCGGCGCGAGTGCGATGCGCGCGCGGCGCGGCAGGTGGCCGCGCAGGCGCCCAATGCTAATCGGAGTGGCGCGCTGGGGCTCGTATGCGATGAGATTTGCCGGCGCACTTGGGCAGAGAGGTCTCGCGCCGGTGATGATTCCCTCGACATCGAAACTGTCGTGGCAACGATCGATGTGACTCTCTTGGGCGAGGCAGAGGCCGCGTACGATCGCGAAAGTCAGGAGCGCTCAGCCCCCCGCGGGGGCAAGGGTGCCAAGGGCGGCGGAAAACCCGGCAAGGGCGGCGGCAAGGGCGCCAAGGGCGGCGGCAAGGGCAAGTTCCCGCCTGCGCCCCCGGCGGCGCCGAACGACCGCGGCGAGTACGGGGAGCCGCGGGCCAAGAGAGCCAGGCATCACGAGCGCTGATCAACGTTCCTGCGCCGCGCAGGCGCGGGTCGGTGCGCGCGCGCGCGACGGCGGTAGCCGGACGGCGCGCAGGCGCAGCTGAGAGTCCAGCGGTGACATGTGAAGCATGCCGCGGACAGGAGGCTGGAAGCGCGGCGCACCTACATGTATGTCGCGCGCGGTGGCGTCGCGCTTGCGCAGGCTACCAATTCGGTGTGGACGCGCGGGGCGCAGCCTACACCGGTTGTTTCACTGGAAGAAGTTGCCGGCGCGGGCGCTCCCGCGGTGGGCGGGGTGCAAGCCCATTTGTCGAAAGGCCCCATCGCGTATCCGTCTTTGCTCCCGCGCGCGCGCGTTAAAAATCTGTCGCGTTGTAGGAGAGCTTGACGCTGGCGACGTGCAGAAGATAGAATTTATCAACTGTGCAATGAAGGACGGATTTCACATCGCGCCATCGCGCGGGATTGAGGAAGACGTTCGCTGCGCCATAGAGTGGGAAGCGTCCAGAGACAGCGTAGAGGTTATGCGTCTGCGCGACAATATGCTATCACGCCTGGAAGCGTGGGGACAAGCGTTACGACGTGACGGGGCCGTCGAGCAATGGTTCGCCGGCGCTGACGACGCGACGCGCGCCGTGTCCGCCGACGTGAATGGGCCGCTTTTAGCTGCTCTGCTCGACATGACGAGCTACGATGACACGGCCGCGGCTGATCTGTTCCGCTACGGCGCGCCTTTGCTCGGAAAGCTGCCCCATGCGGGCAGAGGGCCCGCAAAGAAATTCCCGGAGCCCACGTCGTCCGAGGAGTTGCTGACCTCCTCCCCCGTGCACAATAGAGCCATTTTGTCTTCCTTGCGAGAGGACGTGAACTCGTCTGCGATCCACGAGGGCGCGCTCGCCGATGCGTCTCTGTCGCGGATGACCGCTCCGGTTGTGCTGGCCAAGGCGGACTTGGGCAGGGTGCGTCTGTCCCCGCGTTTCTCCATTGTGCAGGGCGTCAAGCCGGATGGCGCGCCCAAGGTTCGCGTAGTAGACGATGAATCGAGAGGGGGCATCAACTCGGCGTGCCAGCCCGCCGAGAGGTTGTTGCTGGACGGGGCTGACGTTTTGGTGGACGCCCTGCGCTGCTATCACGGTCTGCGCGGGCACGCACCGGCACTGTTTAAGGCTGACATCGACTCCGCTTACCGGCGTGTGCCTATCGCTCCTGAACACAGGCTCGGGATTTCCGGGTGCCCCCCCCCGTTAAAAGCATCGACCTGGGGGCTCGTGTCGGGGTTCCAGAGGAACCCGGCGTTTGCGGTGTCGATGTCGGCCTTGCCACAGGTGGGCAGCTTACAGCACGTATTTGCACGACGGAGACATTTGGGTCACTGGTCACCTGGCGTTGATGTTCGGCGCCCTGGCTGCCGTCTTTGGGTGGGACCGAGTCGGAGCTGCCTTGGCGCACCTCGCCCGCAAGCTCTTAAAGATTCCCACCCTCCGATACGTGGACGATTTCTTTGGGCCGTGCGCACCC